AGGGGACCCCCCTGCACACAGATCTCCTCCGTGCTGCATTGCAGAGGGTGTGGGATCAGTCACCTCCATGGCACCCCCTATCCCTCCACTCTGGATTCCATGGAAGGTACTTCCTGGGTCCAAAACCCACAGAGTAGGGGGGGTTCAACAGTCATTGTCCCCCCCTCTGGAGTCCGAGTTGCTAGCACAACACAAGTGGCTAAAGTCTGGCAGGTTTTTGGTGGCTTCTGTGAAGTGAGTTGGAGGGTCTCAGTCCAATTCCTGGGGGACAAGTGCCCATCTAGCAAAATCACCATCATCGACAGAGTTTATTGTCAGTCGGCAAAAAGAGGTAAAGGACTAAAGAAGCTGGAGGCTGAACCGTCACACTTCTAGAGAGGGCTGCCTGCCGGGCAGGGTAAAGGCTCGCCCGCTGGTGGAGCACTGCAGCTGCTGCTCCGGGAGTACCAATCCTGGGGATAGGCTGTCCTCGGGCACTTGTGTACCAGCCCCAAATTCAAAAGAGAGAGAGACAGAGAAAATAGCAACAATGTGAGCCTAAGAAATTTGTGATTCGCTCAGAGATTGTCAGGGCTCTTGGTCCCTTCCCAGTGTCTCCTGTTGTCTGGGGAAATGCTGGCTTTAGGGATAAGGGGCTGAGCGCACTTGATCATGTGAAGTTTGCATGTTTCCAGGGGCGGCGGGTGAAGCTTCCTCTGGGAGCGGCTAGCCCCCTACTCCGCCTCTTCTGGCCACCGTCCCGCCTCTGAGGCCACGCACCCGCTCGCTGATCTCAGCCCCTCCGTGGCCCCGTCCAGGGTGGGATGGGGGGGCGGGGCTGAGAGCTCAGTCGGGGCCAGGGGAGGGGGGCTGAGAGCTCGCCCCGCCTGGGGTCGAGCTCTCAGCCTCGGCTGGGACCGCTGTGGAGCTCTGGGCCCTAAATGGAGCTCTGAGCCCTCCCCCATTCCGCCCCTTCCGCCTGCGGCCCCACCCATAGCCCCATCCCATTCTGCCCCTTCCCCCACAGCCTCACCCCCGTTCCCCCTCCGCTCCACCTCTTCCCCTCCAAGCCCCACCCCCTGCTCGGTCCATCCCCCACTCCCGCTGTGGCCCCGAGACCGGAAAAGCTCTGTGGCCCCGCCACATCCCCGGCCAGGGCCGAGCTCTCAGCCTCAGCTGGGACCCCGGCAAAGCGCTTGGTGCTAACTGGAGCTCTGAGCCTGGAGACTCCCCCATTCGACCCCTTCCACCCACGAAGGGGGTGCTCCAAGACAAAAGATTATAATTTCTTTGGGAGTGGGTAGAAACTGGGCTTGCTCACTCTGGGGAAATATTTTAACCGGTTCTAAAACTGGTTCAGTTAAACTGATTCTAAAAATGATTAGCGCCATAGTATAGACCTGGTTATAGGTGGTTTGAGGCAGCTTGACCTATTTTTACTGAACAGGAAACAATCAGACTGCTTTAAACTGCCTCATACTAGCTGTACACTATTGTTCTTAGACCAGTTTTAAACTCAGTTAGAATGTTTCCCCAGTATAGACGGGCTTAAGGACCAAAGCTTATCATTTCTTTGAAGTTAATGGGAATTTTGCTCAAGTAAGGCCTGCAGGATATTGTCCTTATGTGCTAGGCTGTTATATAATAAAAACTGAAAATTAGTTCCCAAAGCATAGCCAACCTTCTGTGATGACCCCGCAGCTACAGGAATTGCCTGTTTGCAGAGGCTTCCCTACGGCAAGGCTACAAACAAGTTCAGTAAAATGTGGGTTCCTCCTAATGCAAGGTTTGTTTAAGGCCCCAGCAGTGTAGGAGGAAGGATGGTCTTATGGCTAAAACAGACAATAGGGTGACAGGAGACATGGATTCTATCCCTAGTTCTATCACAGACTCACTGTGTGACGTGGGGCAAGTCCGTCCCTTCCCCTCCGTATACTTCAGTTTCCCCAGCTATAAAGTGAGAATATCCCCCTCTGAGAGGCTTTATTAATGTTTGTGTAACACCAACAGACCCCCATCATTGGGATTAAACCTGGGACCCCTGGAGCTAAATGCATGAACCTCTACTCCATGAGCTAAAAGCCATATGGTCCTTAGCTCAGGCTGTAGAGCAAACTCATTAATCTCTAAGTGGTCTCGGTGTCACTAGATGGGACAGAACACCACACCCAGGAGGTGTGTGGGGTGCATGTGCACAGGACTTTCAGATGGGAGATGTTATATATAGGTGGGCAAAATGTTATTTCTGTCTCGTTTGTAGTAGTCTAGCTCCCTACAGTCCTTACATTTCTTTGAAAGGAAGGCAGCACTTTAGAGATAGGTCAGCCACTATTCCACTGAACCAATCTCCATCCGGAAGACTACATTTCAAGTTCTTCATTGGTGATTTTGAGAACGATGTCACCATACAGGAAATAGCTGATTGGCTGACACTGTGGAATCATAGATATTTAATATTGCTACAGTCGTCCATATTTCTACTGGGGTGATGAAGATAGTTTGAACCATTACTGTACAGTAATGTGTTTTTTATTCTAATAAGGGCATCCACTTGAAGTGCTTCCCTTTAGAGATGGAGTGAACTTAAAACACAGCTGTAAACAGAGCCCGCATATAAATTGTGTTTTTGAGCAATTATGGTGGCTAAGTGATTAATACCAGTGTGGCATCTTGCATGTTCTATTAACAAAATGAAGTAAAACTGAGCTCTTCCTGAAAATATCATTTTCCAGGTGTCAGAAAAAAATGCTGTGCAATGAAAATGAAATGTACCCAGACTTATTTATAGTGTGATCTAGAGAATACTTAAGATTTTCCCACACTTTTTTTTAGAACTGTAATCATCTGTAAAACCTGAAATCAGCATTGTCCCTGGCCTCTCTGTTTTAACATTTTTCGACACGGCTTGACATTGCTGGGAAAATAGATGTTTACTGCACTTACTAAAAAACACTAGAGCCATATTCCGACCTAGCTATTGAGATGACAGATAAATTGATACAGGCAGCAGGATCTAATGGTTTAAGGATACTATGGTATGTAGAGAGGCAACTTGATCTCGTGGACTAAGATCATGACTCTCAGGAACTATTAGTTTATTTCAACAGGCAATGGCCAGAACTCTAGGATCTGAGCTATAAAAGAACCACCTCCACAAGAGTAATAGTCTACACTGGCACTTTACAGCACTGAAACTTGTAGCACTCAGGGGGGTGTTTTTTCACACCCCTGAGCGAGAAAGTTGCAGCGCTGTAAAGTGCCAGTGTAGACAAGCCCTTAGTCTCACCATCTGTGTAATAAGGGTCGTGTTAGAGCTGAGTGAATAATGGATTTTTTGGTTTGGGGTTTGATTCAAACTGGATCAATTTTTTGGGTCAAATTGCAGAACCTGAAAACTTTTTGTTTCTAATTGACTGAAACAATTTTGTTTTTTATTTTGTTTCAGGTTGACCATAATGTGTGTGGTTGACTCCAAATGAGGGATGGGGGGTGTTTGAGTTTTTGTTTAACTTCAGCCATTTTGGGTGTTTTTTTAAAAAATTGGCTAAATTTGAAATGGAAATGCTGTTTGGCATTGAAAAGTCGAAACAAAACATTTTGAAATAGTCCCAAATTCAACAAGTAGTTTTGAGGCGTGAAAAATGCATTTTTCTAAGGGGAAAGAAAGTGTCACAGCTCTAGTGGTAATACTTATGTAACGCACGGGGTGTCATGACAAATGATTAGTTGAGTACTTTGAAGACTTAAAATGCTAAGTATACTTATCAGGAATTTAAGGATCCTCTTATTATCGCATTTGTGCACTTATCATCAGTCTGAGAGGTAGAAATTGCTATTTTTATGCTGTTTTAGATGATTATAAAAAATCTTTAGTTTAACTGGACCTTGAGCCAGTGATTGTCATTAATATTTGTACAAGCAGCAAAAGCTTCCATGCCCAAGACAATTCAGAATGGAAAAGATATAAGCCATCATTTTCACTATAAAAGTACCATAGCAAATTGTCTGTAGAATGGTAGGAGGTTTAGTTGGAGCTAGGTACCATTTCATTGATTCATACTTTGTACTACCCATTAAAAATATCATATTTAACTGTTTGGATACACCATAGCAGCCTTGGACCACAATCTGCCAGTACTGCTAATGACTCGAACTGCCTCCATATAATAGCACTTATATAGCACTTAAAAAGTTCAAAATGCTGCACAGACATTAACTATTAAACAAACATTTTCAGTCTGCACACAGCGGGCCAAATTCAGTTACATCAGCGAGGTCTGATTGTAGTCAGAGTGGCTTTGGAAATCTCCCAGCATCCACTCCTTTCTGGAAGCAGTACCAGGAACTGTGGAATAGATGTCCTGAGGGCAATGCAACTGACCGGAGTTAGAAGAGCACTAAACATGGGGCAAAACTGTAGCAGTTCAGAACACAAGGCAGCCTGGCTAGGATGGGCATCTTGAACCATTACTGCTAGTGCAGCCATACTAATTCACCCAGGAATGGCTTGGTTCTGTAGTGTGAACACAACCAAAGTGGACAATGCAAGAGGAGATCTAAGTAATTCCTCAGGTTCAGTTACAAGTTTTTGTTTTTTTGTTTTTTGTTTTTTGTTTTTTTGCTGAGGTGAAAATGTTCCCTGGGTGTGTTTGTTCAGATCAATATGCTGCCAGAAAGGCTTTCCTAGAGTGATTAGCCGTTTCATTGATCTGTGATCCAAATATGATTACACCTAACTGCTTATGGAATCTACATAACATCAGATGGGCTGTTAAATTAGTCTAAATTCCATTTAAAAAGTCCAACACAACTTATAAACACACCAGAAGCTGGGGCCAGTTTGGTTTCTGACACCACAACCACTGTTACTAGAGTGTGACATATCAACTCCATTTCTATTACTCTCTGGAAGATGCTTGGCTTTGGGGTGGGATTAGTGAAATGAACAGCAGAAGCCAAGTCACCACTGACCTTCCTTATCCTTTGTTTTCACCATGTAGATTTTAAAATGCTGTTGTAAGTGGTTGAGGTAGACATGGATGATGCGTGTGAAAAGCCTCGTGAGGCAAACTGTGAAACAAAAGACTTAGTGTTCTCAGATGATGAAGAGCATGATTTATTGGATCACATGGTCAAGAACAGAAGGCTCAAAAAGAAGGAACAAGTTCTTGAGGTACTTCCATATTGGAAAAGGTGCTGCAACCTGCAAGGTTGCCTGGATTTCCAGAAGGACATCTCTCTTTGGAATGGAAACACTGTTTGAGGCCAACATTCTACTTTCAGTCTGGCAGGGTGGGTCTGGGCTTGGATATTCAGTGCTTCCTACAGGTGTGGAATATCCCTATGGGAGTTTAAGTTCCACACGTATAAGAACAAATCAGAGCTGCAAAATTAGGAGCTAGCTTTGAATTCTTCCAAAGTTTTGAGGTATTTGGATGTGAGGTTTTGGAGATATACAAACTCTCCATTTCACTTTGCATTTACTTAAGAGGAATTTTTATTGTCATATCTGAGGGGAAGACAGCTGGGGAGATGGGTCAGGACCAAAACTCTAGATCCAAACACCCCAAAACTTTGGGAGAATTCAGAGCCAGATCCATACATATTCAATATGGACCTAATCCAAAGGTCATTGATATTAATAGGTCTTTCCACTGATTTCATTACTTTGATGGGCTTTGACTCAGGCCCTATATTAGCAAGTATGCTTTAATTTGTAACAAGGACAGACAGACATATAAAGGATACAAGAGCATACATCGTGCTCTGCCAGAAAAGGTTTTAGCATCACTCATGTTCATAGGAAATACAGCCACAAGGCAGACAAGTCAAAGGAATAATACTTAAAAGATATCAGAGATGGCAGACATGAGGAAGCCTTCCAGATCTTTGGGGAAATGGAGGCAGCTGCTGTCTGCCCGGATATAGGTCCTAAGAAATCAAAGGTGGGAAAGCTCTGCCAATGGGTAAGTCAGAACAGTTACACTCTTAACTTGGCTCAAAGAGAGAGTATGAAAGGGGATATTGTTGGGTTAAAAATAATACTCGTTGCTCTAAAGTGTCCTTATCTATGGCTCTAATAATACCTGAGATCATTAACGGGGGAGGAATTTTGAAAATCTCAATGACTTCTCACCAGTTATGCTACATGTTAACTCCCTGAATTGCTGTCTGCCGGTCCTAGCCCTGGCCCTGCTGTGGGTGGCGAGGGAGAGAAGAGACCTGGACTTTTTGAAGTCTCCTTGCCTCTGGATGGTAGCTCCTCAGGCTAGGGTGCTGTCCCCTTTCTGATGCTACTATGAAGGGAAAGAGAGAAGGTGGCTGCTCACAGACAAAACTGTGAAGTGGGCCCCCAGCACAGAGCCCTGCCCTCCCCTCCCTACCCAAGAAGCATCCCAAAACTATGCAGCAATGATTTCTCTGTTGGCAGGGTAGCTCTGCTGCCCCAGTAGCAGCCCTCTCCAAAGCTACTGTGGGATCTACTCCTCTGATGCTCTATCTATTCCCTGGATGGCTCCTATTCCAGACATGGTGTCTATGCCTCTGGCAGCTCCATGCACAGTGCAGGATCCATGAAGGCCACAGGATTTATACCCAGGATAACCTTCTGCAGCTGCTCCAGAGGGATCCTCTCCAAGTTCTGCCCTTCTGGCTGGAAGCCTCAGTTCTGATATTTCTATCTCGGATTTATTTTCCATTAGGTCCGTAGTGCTCTTCAGGAATTCAGAGATGAAGAGATCATTGAGCATGGGCTTGTGGCACAGGCCTCGGACCTGGGTGACTTGGGTCCTAGTGCCAGCTCTGCCACAGACATCCTCTGACATTGGGCAAATCATCTGTCTAATCTAATGAACTCATCAGTGTAGTGTCTAAACAAAACCTCTTGTACCAGTTTCCTCATCAGTACAAATGGGATAATGGGCCCGCCCTACCTCACAGAAGGATTGAGAAGCTAAATTAAACAGTGTTCACAAAGTGTGGTATGAGCTTTGGTTGGAAGGTGCTATAGCAATATAAGCAATTCATAATAAAAAGATAATGGAATGGGTCCCACTGGATATTAGGTTTATGTTGTAGAGGCCTCAGATACTGGTCACTGCCAGAGGCAGGGTAATGGAATGGATGAACGAATAGGTTGATCCAGTATAATGCACCTCATGGTCTTTTCACCTCATTTAGCTGGACCCTCAGGGTTGTCCCAGGTCGGGATTGAGGTGGACTAGCAGAGTGCTTCTCCATACAGTGCCTGATCTCAGCCTCTCACTTTACAGAGCATGAACCTCTGGGCCCTCTTAGAAACCATCCCCAACTCATTTCCCCTGGCACCCAAAGCTCAGTTAAATCCAAGTCTGGGGTATAGGGAGGAGGGTAACAGCTAGTGCTAGAACCGATTGTAGTTTTTTCGTGCATTGAAGGAATAAGAAGCCAAATTACCCCCCACCCCTTTGGAAAGTCACAGCTTTTCTGCCAGGAGCTCCTCTGCCTGCGTTAAAAGGGTGGCAAATATTTAAAGACTTCTTCCCCCCCACCCCTCCTCTGGGTATCTGATGTCTTTAAAACACAAGAGAAGTAGAACAGAGAAGCAGTTGGCATTGGCATTACATGAGAAGCTGGGAGGAGACCTGAGATGTCTCAAAGTACTCCATTTAGGGAGGAACAATCAGTTGCACACATACAAAATGGGAAATGACTGCCTCGGAAGGAGTACTGTAGAAAGGGATCTGGGAGCCATAGTGGATCACAAGCTAAATATGAGTCAACAGTGTTACCCTGTTGCAAAAAAAGCAAACATCATTCTGGGATGTATTAGCAGGAGTGTTGTAAGCAAAACACAAGAAGTAATTCTTCCGCTCTACTCCATGCTGACTGTGCCTCAACTGGAGTATTGTGTCCACATTTTGGGAAAGATGTGGACAAATTGGAGAAAGTCCAGAGACGAGCAACAAAAATGATTAAAGGTCTAGAAAACATGACCTATAAAGGAAGATTGAAAAAACTGGGTTTGTTTAGTCTGGAGAAGAGAAGACTGAGAGGGGACATGATAACAGTTTTCATAAAAGGTTGTGATAAGGAATAGGACAAGAAGCAATGGGCTTAAATTGCAGCAAGGGCAGTTTTGGTTGGACATTAAGAAAAACTTCCTAACTGTCAGGGTGGTTAAGCACTGGAATAAATTGCCTAGGGAGATTGTGGAATCTCTCTCTTTGGAGATTTTTAAGGGCTGGTTAGCCAAACACCTGTCAGGGATGGTCTAGATAATACTTAGTCCTGCCTTGAGTGCAGGGGAGTAGAATAGAAGACCTCTTGAGGTCCCTTCCAGTCCTACAATTCTATGATTCTATAAGTCTGTGCAGAGACCTTTAAATGCCATCTGTGAGTTAACCCATGAGTCTGGTTGTAAAGATTGAAACAGGTAAAATAGCAGAAATGGAGTTGTCTCTGCTGTGATCTGGAAATACATACTCGTTCCAGATCAGTTGTGGGTAACTGCAAACTAATGGAAAGACAAGAGGACTTGAGAAATATTTAGAAATTATCTCCTGACTATTCCCGAAGTAAAAAGGAAGGGTGGGCCCCAGTGGTTGGGGGCTTTCCAAATCTGCTCTGCCATAATTACCTCTATGACTTTAGGCAAGTCATATAGGCCCAGATCCCCAAAGATTTCAAATGGAAATCAGTGGAAGCTAGCTGCCTAAGTACCTTTGGGGATCTGGGCGTTAGTCCTTCTGTGCCTCAGTTCCCCAGCTGTAGAATGGGGATAATAGCACTGCCCTAGCTGTCGGGTGTTGCGAGGAGAAATGCATTAAAGATTGTGAGGTGCTCAGATACTATGGTAATGGAGGCCATGTAAATACCACAGATAGCTAGATTTGCTAGCCATGCAACAAACTGCCAGAGGCTCAAGCCTGCAGACCATACTCGGGCCAAACTTCTCTTAATTTCATTTGGAGTTTTTCTGGTGTAAGGCTTTTAGGATTGGGGCCAAAGGCAGATTTGGGGTACTATCTGGTAGAGAATGGGAGTGGGTCATAGATGCCAGGTTAAGCTGCGTGATGATGGTCCACACTACTTAGGCCTGGTGTAAGCGGGCACAATTTACAGTGAAGCCAATGATATCTGTTCTCCCTTAAACCAGGGCAGATTTTGGCCCTATGTGTTGAGCAAATCTAACTACTTGACAGGACGTTGAAAAGTGATTTGTATGTTGTATCACTTTATACTCATTCAGCTACCATGCACTCATCGGGAATACTACCATGTTATGGATTGTCAGAATATGCTGTCCTGCTCCTGCATAGGCAGTTTGCTACATGATGGATGTAAATGCATTTTTAAACTGAGCAACACTTTCTACCGCTTTAAGATTCATCTAACTAGTTTGCTGTGTGACTCTCACAAACCATAACTGTGCCATGCTGTAGCTCTGTTGGGTGAACTATGCACCAGTGGTTAACACTACCACATAATGGTCTGTTTGCTGCTCGGGGTGCTTTCTCTCTCTCTCTCAGACTGTTTACCCACTTGGGGAGTGGGGCTACCCAGGACTTGAGTTAATCTGGCACCTGCCACTTAGGCAGCCGTGATAGACCTCCTGGCAGATCTGCCCGTGAGTCGTACAGTGAACCGTCCGCTTGTAGCTCACTTATTATGTCTGAAGAGGTCTATTTTTAAGAACTCCACATCAGTAATGTAACTGTACAGCAGAATTTCAATGGTTCTGTTTTGAAATAATTTCAAGCTGTGTCCAGGCTTTGTCCGGACAAGGAATCTGGGTTGGCAGCTTGGCAGAAGTTCACAAGCTTCATCCAATTGGCATAAAATGGAGAAAAGATTGCAGATGTCCTTGTCTTTTGTTATGAAGAGGCTGCCTGTGAAGGCTACAAGTCACAGCATGCATTGTTCCCCTTTGAGTGGGCCTTGGGTTTTGTGGGGCCCAGACAACTGATTTCTCAGGTGCCCTGGAGCAGTGTTTGGGGTCGGGAGTGCCAAAATTGGCGTTCTGGCACCTTTTTGCTCTCCTGATAATAGGGGCATAACTTAGAGCAGTCTCAAGGCTTCTGTAAATTGCACTAGCTTATAATGGCTTCCTAGGGGCCATTACACCGGTAGGGTTTATTGAAGCACAGTGCGCTCTAGCCATTCTCCTTCCTAGCCATGCCTCCAAAGTCAGGAGCCCAGAAGGGTGATTGTGTTGAGCTGGCTACAGGGCTTTAAGGAGTCTCTCATATTGGGGAAATTTCCAGCTGCCTATTTAGGGAATCTTTAAATGGGGATTTATTAGGGATCTGGTCTTTGTTTCTTCATCTCTAAATGTGGATAATACCTACCTTCCCTACATGAGGTATCATGAGGATGAGCAAATTAATATTTGTACATCACTTTGAAGATGTAAAACACAATATGTTACTACTGTTTCAACAAAACCTTCTCTTGATTCCCCACAGGCACCGCCTAGGCCCCTTAGACCTCGCTTCAGGAAGAAAAGTACCTCGACCTCTACCACTGAAACCATGTGAGTGCGATGAGCCAATAGCACCAAGATCCACAGAATGTCTCTCTTCTGCCTTAAAGAGCTACTTGCTAATTATGTAGAAAAACAGCAGTGAGATGGATGCGATTTGATGTGCAGCACTGCAGACATGGCCTTTCTCTCTTCCCTTAAGTTACATGTTACTTGCATTTTCCCATAACATGTTAGAACACTCTCACAGGTGGTAACAGTGTCAGAGTCCCCCTGTTTCATTTGCAGAATATACAACCACTCCAGCTAACCCTGTCAGGCTGTATATTTGCAATTATTAGTTGTGTCTGCATAGTTTTAGCTTGTGAATGCAAACAAACAAAAAAATACTCAATAGATCTCAATGATACTTTGACTAATGTATCTATTTATGGCTTTATCCTTAACGAAGTGGACTTGCAGGAGCCATAGATTTTTCTCCCTACCCTTCCTCCATCTTATAACAAGACTGTGACTGACGTGAGATATTTTGAATTCTTTCTACTGTACAGAATGTCTGAGACTTATTAGCAAAAGTTGAGCTGCAACTCCATTTCTTTTTCTGCAAGTAAATTATGTGAACTCCAGTCATTGTGCTGAAAATATAGAGAAAACAACTTAGAGATGATGAGAAAGAGAGATGTACAAGAAAATAAACTGATTTCACAAAATAAAGTAGGGGAGTCTTAATTTTGATACTCCTGAGCCAGAAGAAGAGTGATATATTTTGTAGAAAATGAAAGAATTAATCTTATAACTTTTGACCAACATTTTACTGGCAGTTCTACAATATATGCAAGCCATGTTTGTAATAACTGCTACAATGTTAACCAGAATCACATTAGCCATTGATTTCATAGGGCAAAATTCACCTTCCTCATCTGCATGTATGAGCTCACTTCAGATGTTTTGTTTTACTGGAGTGGATGTGGGAATTGCACTCCCATAGCCAGAGAAGAACATTGGAATTGAGCTCTTCCATGTGGCTTGGAGAGAATTTTGTCAGTATGTGGATTCTGGTTTAAACCATGAGACTCTGTAGTTTGGCTGGTGCATTGGTATCCATATATAAATGCTAAATACAAAAGAAGAGGAAGAAGTTGTAGGATAAGTGTATTTGTGCTTAAAGTTGGTGTCTTCTGTAAATGTAAAGCATGTGAAATTCATAAATGAGTTAATTATGTGGCCCTTTGTGTTTGCTCTTGGCCCTCTCCCATAGACTAGAAAAACTTTTAGAATCATGTGACATGATTGCCATTGATAACTGATCAATAAACAGACTTGATTATGAATAATATTGTTAACCTAGTTCAGGTACAGAAGTGGCCCAGCATGCCAATGACTGGTTAGAGTGCACCAGGCTCAGAGATAAGCATATCCAACGTGGCCTTTGTTAAATATTATCTGCCGGATAGGCTTCTAAATCTCAGCCTTCTTGCTAACTCATCTTGAGGTAATTCTGAAGCTTCCTTAAATGGTTTGAGAAGTAAAAATTACTGCTGTCCCCTCCCCACAAAGATTTGTATCAGTTTGGCTAGTAGGAAGAAAGGGCAAACAGACATTTCTTGTGATTGCCACAATATTTGGACCTGTTATTGGAAAATCTGATTTCCCTTCTAAGCATTGAGTAGACTGTGTTTTGTGAAGACAATATGCTAAAAAAAAAAAGTGTTCTAGATGGCAGTTGAAAAATATTCCGTCGTTAGAACACACTCAGCAAAAGCTTTGAGTAGCTAAGCTTATGTATTTAAGTTAAGCAGCTCTAGAGTCAATTTGATTTTTCAACAATTAAAAAAAAAAAAAAAGGAACTTTGCTTGAAGTGTTAGTTAAAATTAAAATCCTGTTGCAAGCAAGCTTCATTTTCAGTGCTACGCAATAGGGTGCCATAAGACAAAACAAAAGCTGACAAGCTTGCACTCAAATTATGCCAAAAATAAAAATATATAGCTGCATAACGTTTGATGACTTCTACTCTCATACACACTGTATTAATTCATCCTCACTAAAGTTATTAAATGTCTGATCTGCTGTTTTACTGTAAACTTGACTGTTTCGATTTTCTTAAATGCTGAGGTGAAACTGTTGACAAGGGAGTTGCCTTATCTCTCGAAGACATTCACTGGAAAAAAAAATCTTTTCATATCGCTGGCAAAAATGTGTTATCAACTGAGCTGTGTATTTGTGTATAGACTGACAAGAAATGTGAATGCCTAAACATGTACACTGAGTGGTACAGTGTTCTGTACACAGGATAGAACAATCACTTGCTTTGAATTCAGTGTATTACAGACACAGGTTGTTTACAAATGCTTCCTCTAAAGGTCTGTCATTTTAACATTCAGATACATATGTTTATTTGGGATCCACATCAGCTGTATGTTCTTTGGTCCTGACTCTTCTCTCAGGCATTGTCTCCCCTTGGGAATAACCTCAGTTCAACAATTGGTGTTGCTACACATGGGCTGACCACTAGCAGTAGACAAAGGCAAACCTGGGTTTGTGTCAATTGAACTAATCAGAATATCACATGCTAGCTGGCCCTTTAAGGGGAATGGGGCCCCAGCCCCTCCTCTGACTAATCAGTTGCCACCCAGCTGAAGCAGTAAGATCAAGGAGCAGGTAGCTTGAAGATAACCTGGTTCTCATCAATAACAAGAGCTCATATTGGGGGCAAGGCCCCCTCCAGCCTCAGTCTTCAGCTCTGGGGAAAGAACTCAGTGTATATGACTCTCAGGTGGCTGTAAGCCCATATGGAGTAGTTAGGCCCCTGCAAAAGCCCCCAGCTCAGGCAATGATATGTTGAATGTGTTATTTTGAAGAAATAAAACTAAAGCCTTGAAGAGAAGGGGACAGAAATCCCGTGGCTAGAGAATTTTCTTTGGTGCCTGGGCCAGTGAATTAGCCTGCAGGTTTACACAGGATTTACCTTAATTATGAATGGGGTAAACTTTGAGCAACTCACTGCAAACGCTTACGCATCCTTGTCTAAATGTAACTATCTGCCCCAGTGCAGCTGCAATGATTGTTGAAGCAGGGCTATTTCCAACTACAGCCAAGGCTCCACTTACCCTAGTGTAAATTAGGAGTAATTGCCCAGAAGCCAAGGGAATTATACAAGAGTAAACCTGGTATAAGGAAGAGGAGAACCGGGCCTTCTGTTTCTAACAACAAGGGGAGAAATTACCTCGTGATTAAAAAATAAGAAGGAAAGGCTTACTAGAGGGACGTGATGCTCCCTGGCATCATGTAAACAGCCTGCTGCCTTTGACTGTGCTCTGTGAAATAACTGTGTTCTCATGTAGTAATGATATCTATCTATTTGTGACAGAATGCTTGTTAATCAGTCTTCTTTTGCTGTTTATTTGTTTCGGGTACCTGTTTTGCACCTAGCACGTATTTGAAATTGTAAAGAACACTATGCGTACTTTTGAAATTCACACTTATACAAACATATTTAAGGATCGTAACTGTGCACTTAAAAGAGGTTTCTTTCTCATGATCAGTAGAAAAGATCTGTGATAAGATAGTATACTTAAAGCCTCATAAGGATGGACATTACAACAGTATTCCAAAGGTTGGAGTTTTGCTGGTTTTGTTATGCTTGATATACATCTTGAATAAAGTCTTAATCTTTTCTTTAAAAAAAAAGAAAACAAAGAAGCATCTTCAGTCTGTTCAATGTATCTGGCAGGCCAGAATACTTGTTGTTACTTTTATTACGGCATTATTTAGTTGTCTTAATTCTTGCTAACTGTATATAGATGTATTCACCAAATGCTGCATGTCCTTCAGAATTCCTTTCTGTATTACCAATTGGAAAAAATACAGCTACTAAACATGTTACCAGTGAATTCATTGGACTACTACAGCTTTATTATAAAGTAAGCCTTGTCTTGTTAAACAAATGATAGTGGAACTGATTGACAGGCTACAGTAAAGAGAATGGAACAGTTTGAAGCTACTGTTGTCACACTGTCTACAGGCTGCCAAGTTTTAAAGAACGCACGGGATTGGGCCTTAGTGAAAGCAGAAGCAAACATATCATCCTGACCTACAGTGTAAAACTAAAATCACATACATTGTTTCATATAAAAGGGTCATGTGTGTACCAAATCGGGTACTGTAAAGTAGAGCCAGAATTTAAAAAAGAATTAACAAGCAGGCAATTATTCACAATTAACAAGAAAGGAATGAAAATTAGAAACTTTCAGAGTGGTTGTAAGGGAAGTTCTCTAATTTTAACTAATTTAACATTTGTTTTAATCACTTTAGTTACCCACTGACCAACATTCGGAACACACTAATTTTCAGTGTTTTCCAGTGGAGAAGCTACGTCAGTATCAAACTGGGCAGTGTTATTAAAATGGTAGCCCCATTCATTTAATGCAGACACTGAGACAGCAACTGTCTTTTTGTTCTGTGTTTGTACAGTGCCTCGCTCAATGGAGTCCTGGTCCATGACTGGGGCTCCTAGGTGCTTTGGTAATACCCATTCTATATTATTTGTATTTTTCAAACTGCTTTAAACATTCCCATTTTAATATCAATTCTTAAAATTTAGCTTAGATGTTCAACTACATACATTGTTTATACCCTATTGCCAGAATCTCACCACAAGAAATTCAGAATATTTAGCTGAATCAAAATTTCTCACTTTTTTCCCCTTGCCCCCCTCCACTTTAGTGAAGTGAAATACAATAACCAACTATGACTCAATTCTCCAATCACAATCTGGAATTAGTTTATTTTGGGTGTTTGTACCAATAATTCAAATCAGACCGTATATTTGCATGTGGAAAAACGACAGACTGTAGTTATTTGTCTTTGGAAATGCATAAAAAGATCCCAGCCCACATACAATGACATATATTGGGCAGTAAGAGGAAAAACAAAAGTGTGAACTGAGACACAGAAGAGACAGGTTTTCTATAGTCGAAGGTTTGTGCGATCATGATACTTCTGGAAGGGATCATCAACGTACCAGTTTCTTCTCTTCCAGAAAGAAGTGGTCATTTTATCAAGGAGTTTACTTTGTGTTTTATTGCAAAACACTTGTTCCCTCAAGCGTCTTTTCTGGGGAATAGACTTTTTCCATAATTTTTTCTTGTAACCAGCCTGTCAGAAGACAAAGAATTCTACATCACTTTATCATAGATGGATGTCTAGCAACAGTATCCCCCCATACCTCAACAATCCCCATGCCCTGAGCAAGTCAGCTTTCAACTCTGACCCTGGATTTTCTTTGTTTTTTTTCAAATCACTACTGACCCCTAGAGGAAGGAAGGCAGCTGGCTCACTCTGTCTTTAAGTAAGGGTAGATCTCATATTTAATCAAATGAAAGCCTTACTTTTTTCCTTAACCAAAGGCCACAGTGCAGTCGGAGAAATCTATAGACCACAGATTTTACAGATTTCCTCTTTCCTTTTCGCACGCTATAATATGTGAGAGTCCTCACTGGCTGCTGAAGGATATGTGGCAGTAAGGGTGTTACACTGAAATACAGAACAGAAAAGATGAAATATGTAATTTAACAAGAATGAAGTGCTCTTTCCCCAGAACGCAGCACCTGATTGACTCCATCTGGAAAACCCAGAATGGCTTTACACCAACTTGCCTGAGGAAATTTAAAAGCAAACTGATCTAACATTTCAATAGGCCCTTTGGCTGAGTATTGACATATACATCTTTATTATATTGCAGTGCAAATGTCTGGCTGAGTGAATTTCAAATATTATTATTTATATTATCGTAGCACTTAGGAGCCTTAGTCATGGACCTGGACCCCACTGTGCTAAGCACTGTATGGACAGTTTTCTTTGGTTCATAACTTTTAAAAATGGAGTTGAGAACTCAGGGTAGTGTAACAAGAGCTATTTCAGGTGAAAAGTTAAAATTACATGTTTTAACATTAGAGATTTGGGGCATTCATTATTTTAATTAATAAAACAAACACCAGTTTTATAACAAGGATTCTTATTGTGATGAGCTGAGGTACATGTTTGAGGCATGTTCCATCTTCATTGAAGGGTCTTGACATGATACAGGTGGGAGAAGGAGTTTTAAAAACTGATCCTGCTTGCAAGAGTGTCAAGTAGCAGCAGAACTTCCCATGCCAAATTGGAGAAAGATGCTACTTTTCAAAAGTGTTGCTGAGAATATAGAATTTGGATAGAAATCAGGGGACTGGACTCGATGACCTCTCGAGGTCCCTTCCAGTCCTAGAATCTATGAATCTAACACTCTCCTTATAAGCTTGTGTAGATTAGTATTTTTCTTTGTTTCCCATCATTGCTCTAGCACTGGTGCAACCTGCTCTGAGCAGAGTTAGGTCGGTGACAAAAATGCTGGTGGTGGTCCACACTGCATTCCATCCATCGATGCCACTGCTTGAGCTGAACTGTGCACTGGGCTAGTGCAATGGTGAGAAATATGAAGAAAAGTTCTAGTGCTGACTCTAGTGTGTATTACATTCTGCAAATTTTACAGCAGGCTCTTTGTTTTCTAATAGGTTTTATGTAACATTCACCCTTTAAAAACATACCATACCTGTTAAAGATGGAGAGAGGACACCCACAGGACAGATCACTCACAGACAGCAGAGGTTTCATAACAGAAGAAGCTAACGGTGCCTGCACCCGGTTGAAACATTGTATGGAGAGTCCAGAAATAAGACGGATGTTGCAGGAGCTGTTGTAAGCCAAAGGGACCAGAAAATTCAGAGGTCTTAAAATCCCTATGGAGAGAGAATAGATAATACCAGGAAAAGTTAATGAAAAGTGAGCAGTGGGTTGAAACCGCCTGATACCTGAACCCATGTTTTATTGTGTTTCAATAAACATTAATACCACTTAATTACAAATCTGCTAGATTTCCTGTTTAGACACTTTGCACACGGCAGACAGTGGGATTGGCAAGGGTACTCATCAAAATCGCACTGACTGAAAATGTAGAGCTAGATATTCCTCAGACACTAACATGTAGGTTCAATATCACCTATGACTTTCATTCTAGCACCAAATTCAGAATCATCAGCTTCTGGGTGTGAAAGTTTTTGAAGATCTGCCACCTAGCGGTCAATGAAAATCAAGGAAAGTTTTATAAAGACGGTTGACTGACCAAAGACCCTGTTGGAAATATTATGTTGCTCTCATGTACACTATCTTGAAAAAGAAAGAAAGAAAGAAAGAAAATTTGGTCCTGCCATGAGGGCAGGGGACTGGACTCAATGACCTCTCGAGGTCCCTTCCAGTCCTAGAATCTATGAAAGAAAGAAAGAACCTTTCAATAAATATTTTCAAACTAATGACATCTAGAAATAAGTCTTCTTTTATAAATTGTAAAAGACTGACATTAATATTGATGCTTTTTTTTGCTCATTTATGACCTGAAACTAAATATTGCAAATAGGAAACAAAATTCATTTCCCCATTACGCTTTATATACACAGCTTCTGACCAACCTGACACTTTCCTTGAAGTGTTTAGCACACAGATCACCCTGTTTCCCCTTTGATGTTTTAGAAATCATTTAGCTAGGCTTCTGGCAAAACAGACCAGCATTTCAGAGCATTGCACACCATCCATGGTTACAGGGAATCACAGCACCAACAAGCTGCAGTTTGTCTAAACCAGGAATGGCCAAAGCGTGGCTCACAGGGAAAACACACTCATGGCCATAGCCACAGTCACCTTCAATATGGAGATGCACCCCACATAAATGAGATTCCAACATGCAGTTCTCCATCCTGACCCAAGAACTTTCGGGATGGAGGACTGTGTTATGTACAGCCCTCACATCCAATTTGAAGATGAGGTCACCT